TGTACAAAATAGTTTTGTGTTTGTACAGTCAACGGCAGACACTGCTATTTTTTTGAACACACCCCTTTCAACTAATTGCCCAATTGCACAGCCTTAAGAGCGTGCATATCATGAATGCTGGGTCTTGTTTGCTTTCTGAGAATCTACTGCACCTACTGGTAACTTGTTTGCCATGTAGCAATAAAAAATATACTAAAAACCTGGATTATTCTGGTTAGTCACATTGTACTGCTATTATTTTGAACAATACTGTAAATACTTGGCAGGCTACATGTGACCAGTAAGTGTTGGTATCTGCCTGTCATGATGAAGTTTAATACATGGCCTAGCAGAAGCTGTGGATGGACGGGTGACTAGTGTGTTTAAATGCTGTTGAGTCTGATTCGTTTCCTCGTGAGAGAAATTTTATCATCAGTCCTTTCTGATACAATTTTGGACACTGCAGTCAAATATGTGCAAGTGCTTCTTATTACAAAATGGCAAGAACCGCATTTTAACGTAAAGCTCTTCTTTTTTTTTTGGTCTGATCTTTTTAACCGTTTACTCACAGCAGCAACTGAAAACTGCCTGGCTCCGCCTCTGACTAGAGGAGCGTGTCATGACAATCAATACATCCACAGTCAGAATCCTCTGGTGACATAAAACACAGTGTAGACAACACACAAACATAAATACTTAACAGCATTTTTTGTTTTGGCAGGGGATTTTTGTCTCTTCTCTTTTTTACTTATTGTTACATGGGGAAATAAATCAAAATCAAATCAGTCAAATGAACCAAGTCCTATATTACCCATATGGTCATTTATCCCTTCCGTCTCTGACAACCCATAGCAACATCTCAACAATGTACAGCGCACAAGCTTTACAGACATTTGTTGTAATGGAAACAGCCATAAACACAATGGCTAGAGAACTGGCTGACTAGCAGCAAGCCCCGACGCCAAGTTTGTCTCAGAAACCGTCGTAAATTTGCCATCATGGTTTCATTACATTTTGCCACACAAACTAGTTGGTTAGGATTATCAACTAAAAGTCACACTGTGGAAATGAACCCTGCTTGCTTGAGGGAAAATCCTGTATTTTGTGTAACTAGCAATCCACCCCAACCACATCCTCCTCCTAACTGGCACTTTGTGGCTCTGTATGCTACATCACATTACTTATTCCTTTCCACGCCTCATAATTTCTTCTAGTTCTTGCTAGATGTGGCCAAAATATTACTCATAACAATTAGTTATGCATAGAGTTCTTTAAAAAGAAGCAGACTAACAGGAAACACGTTTCAATAAAATTGCCAAAAACGTAGTCACTGTTGGGGAGTTTACATTCAAGGTACGCCCTGCACTGATCCCATCCCATAAAGTTTTTGACCATTATGTACACTCCTACCAATCTCCTATATGGCTGATCCTCTGATGACCCCACTCCCACAGAGATTTTGATCACTCCCATTGCTAACTTTATGCTCTGTTCCTCCTATCCAGCAGTGAAGACGGAACAAAATACATATTCACTGAACAGATGGTGGGCCATGTGCCAGAAGTTAACTGGACCTCCAACACATGCATTCCTGAAATGCCAAGTTAGCTGGGACACCAAAATAAAATTTCAGGAAGGAACAAACTGTAAGATTTGAGTCTTATAAACTCTAGTTACTTTATAAGCTTTAGTTACTTCTCATACCTGTAGTTCCCTTTAGTTACTTTTCATAACTTTATTTTCCTTGTCTATACATATTACAGCTGTATTAATGGTTGTCCAGAACTACTGAGGTTTGGCTATTTTAATACATTTATTTCCTTTCTTATACTGTATATCTTATAACTGTAATGAAGTAGAATCTGCTTACTTTGAATGCTGTAACTTCTGTAGAGACTAGATGTCTACATCTCTTTGTGACCAGATAGCCTATTTACATTTTAACAAAGCCCTGCTGGCCCGTTTCACACCCACACCTAGACCCACATAGCATATCCCAAGTTCTGCCTCACCAGGGGGTGTCTTACACACACACAGGGGGGCTACAACCTGAGACACACACACACACACACACACACACACACACACCTACACTTTACCACATTCTACCAAGTGGGAGCTCCGGTTCACACCAAATGGACAATAGGATCAAAAAGCTGTTGAATGTTGTACCTCTGTCCAGGACGGAGCAGCCCAAGAAGATAAAATGTATTGTAAGAACTTAATTCGGGGTTCAGTGGACGGAACTCCTGTGGGAGTTCTGTCCCTCTGATCCCAGCGCTGTAAGGCCTACCTGTGCTCAGACTTTCAGTAAACTTTCTGTTGATTTTAAACGGTCCTCTCTATCTTCACTTCTCGTGCTTCCAACAAAAGAATCGGGTTATTTTCTAACAAAACTGAGAAAGAACCAGAAAATGAGAGCAGGGGGTTTAGTCTGAAACAGAACTGGAGCACTTTACATTACAGCAAGGGGTGGTGCCTCACCTCCAACAGGAAGCACAGCTATTTGACCCTCAGTAAAGACTACACAACATTTATGCTATAAAAAGGACCTTCCCTGCTAAATCACATAAACTTTACAGCTTCAGCATCCTCCCTTTCCAGTCCATCGTGCCTGTTGGTATCATTTTACCATAATGTACAGTACATATAAGGTTTTCACCAAATAAGATATCTAAGACAGAAATGTTCCAATGATACAGCTGATCCTCTGCTCTAGCTGGTGATGATAAGCTAGAGTCTATTGTAGATTACCTGTGGGTTTAAAATATCTGTGGTCCTGATGCTTCTTCAAGCCAAGTTACAACACATAATCATGTTCATAGTCTTTGTGACATGTCATCCCAGGCTCTCACCCCACTGCCAGTAAGACTACGTTCACACTGCAGGCTGAAGTGGCCCAAATCCGATCTTTTTGCCCAAATGTGACCCATATCCGATTTCCTTACGACAGTGTGAACAGCACAAATCCGATTTTTTTCAAATCAGGCCCAGGCCACTTTCATATGTGGTCCTAAATCGGATACATATCCAATGTTTTGCAATGCGACTTCAGTCTGAACGGCCATGTCGCATTTCATGCAATTTTTATGTCACTGAAATGCGACAGACGTCACAATTCTGTGCTGGAGGAGGCGAGGCCAAACGCAATATTTGTGCTCTCCTTCTTCTTGATATTCTTATTATTATTTATTTATTTCGATTGCACATTAACTAGTACATCGCTACGCACATGCTATCACGAGTCGCATCCATTTTTATTTTTGCAAACACAGTACGCTGCGTCTGACGTCACGTCCTCTTCTGCGCATGCGGGTCACCTCAGGGCCGTATACCGTTCACACATGAGAGAGATGGCAGTCACATTTAAATGACAGTGTGAACAACAGTGCAAAAAAAATCGAATTTCGGCAAAAAATCGGATCTGAGCATTAAGACCTGCAGGGAATGTACTCTAAAAGTCAGGAAAAGGTATTCATATAAAAGGTGTTAGGTTATTTCTTAGTTAGATAGATATTCAGAGATTTGTTGTCTAGAAATGTTTAGTGGAGACAGGATGTCTAGCTCAGGCTGTTAACTGCTCAGTTTAATTTCATGTGCTTGCAAACTGCATTTGCAGGCAAAGAGTTGTTAGTATTAACTGTAATGCTAATCTTAATATTTGTCTTAATGTGAAATGTCATGTTAAATTGTTCTAGATACACACCACAAAACAACAGCCACACACCTTGACTTTTCCTCATGTTTTGACTATCGTTATGGTCAGCTGCAAGCTGGCATATCAGGTGACGTCACGGTTTGACGCCCCTGCGTAGTATGGGGCTAGCCCAGAATCATTAAAATTATATAGGTTTCATGGTCCAGGGTCTTTCATCTTCCAAGCTGCCTGCGCGCAGGTTTGGTGGTGGGAGAGATCTGGACGTGTGATGTTAATTTTACCTGTGATCCTCTGAATAAACCAGTACGGTTATTTTTTATAAAATCTAAAGTGGTCTACTTCGTCTTTTTGGAAGTTCCTGGTTTAAAAGAGCCGGAAGAGGCTTTGTACAAAAACAGAGCTTATAAAGGGTAGAGTTAAGCTAACTTATTAGGTCCACAAAGCTGGCCCTCGTACCAACTGTCAGCTCAACAAACACAGGCTGTATATGAGGCTTCACAAAGTACACTGTGGTTTATTAATTTGTTACTGGCACAAACCTACTGAGCTTCACATACAATACGCCTGTACATACATACATACATACATACATTTACTGTAAGTTCATATACTGTATGCATTCATCCAGAAATGTTCCCTTGGGGATATGTGTTATGCCTCAGCCAAGGCATTGTGTAAAGGTTCTGGTGTTTGTTGCACACTAAGGTTTACTGCTGGGTCATCAAAGGATCAGTCATATAGGAGATTGGTCAACTTGTCAGGGGTAATCAACACAAAGAGCTGGGCTTTGGGGGATGCCAGTTAAATTATAAGTGTTGGCCCTGTGTTTATTACTACAACACATGGTAACATGGCAGTTTATAGAATACAACAGAATTAAAGTGATGTTGAGAAAGTGGCCAGGCAAAATAGACGCAAAAAGCAAATTTAAAACAGGCCAACAGTGGTGTGGAGATAATGGGAAATAGAGAGATTTTGGCCAAAGGGGAAACACTGGCTTGGAACATTCATGTCATAGTCCCTTAAGTGGCAGCAGCGTGTGAAAGAAACCGCCAGCTCATGCAACTACTGGAAAACGAGCAAGCTTTCCCTAAAATCCCACCTCATCCACCCACACCCAACACTTTTCTGACAAATATTGACCATGATAACTAGTGGCATTTAAAAAAAAAAGTTATCTTGCACTGGATACTAAAGGCAAAGTCTGGAACTTTCCAGAACCACTTACTGTCTCAACAGAAAAGTAAAGATGCGTTATTGTGTTAAAAGGTGTAATGACTGGCTGAGTTTCACTCTTTTACCTTTCTCATTTGTGTTAAATCACTCACCTGACAGACCTAAAGAAAGCAACACCTGTTCTCACCTGCGGTGTCCTCTTTCGACATGTTGTTGTCATCCACATCATCCTCTGCATTCCCATCTTTAGCCTGTCTCGTATCGTCCTTCACCGGGACCACAGTGAAGTTGGTTGGCATTTTTACACCACGTGCTTCCTCTCCGAGTGTCCTATTTCTCACACTCTTGTCTCTCTATCCTTCACCCTCTTCCTCTCTGTGTTGCTGCCCCTCTCTGCGTCCTTCTGTCCAAAAGCTGCCACTCTTCTCCTATCTGGCTCTTGATCTTGGCTGTTTGCTCGTTTTCTTCTGACCTTCTCCCTTGATGTGCTTAACTCTCCTGGACAGACATCAGGTCTTACTTCTCAATTTTCCTTCCTACCGCTAGGATTCTGCACCCAATGTGAAAACCATGTCAAAACTTTCTTCCTATTTCTTATCCATTTTTCCTCCCAGCCCACTGGATTCTCTTATGTCAAGCTTCGTATTTCAATCTATCAGCTGATCCTACCACTAATCTAAAAACAAGAATTCATTTCCTCAGTGCACTGAAAGTGATACAAGGACTTAATTATCACACCAAGTAACAAACACTCCTATATAACTGGAAATGCTAAAAAAAAAAAAAAAAAAAAACCCTGCTGGAAAAAAAGCCCCAGAGGCAGAGCTCCAGGTCTGTCATAATGCATCAGCCTCAGAGCCTCAACAGACAGCTAAACATTTGGAGTCACAACCAGTTACTGTGGCCTCAGCACCTTTAGTTCCCCCAGCATGATGACATGCAAGATCAGTGTAGGCAAAAAGAGAGTCTGCAAGGGGAGGAGCGGGAGCTGAAGAGAATCAAAGAGACACAGACAGACAACTTAGAGAAAAACTGTCAGTCTTTACCACTGTTCTGTGATATGTATGTAAGACTTTGAGTTCATTTCTGAAGTAACAGTTTGTCAACCAACCAAACAGGTATTTTAAAAATGCGTTTTGGAGACTGCAGCTCAGGTTTCAGTGAAACATCTTACAATTCCGGTTAAGTGGGTGTGGTTGCAAATTTGGCACTGGATCCAAACTACATGTAAATCAAAGGTCGACTGAATCTGCCTGGCAGCTATTGCACTGTCTAAAAGCAGCTACCATGTCTAGGATCCTGGTGAAAGCATTCTTCAGTTCAGTGAACTGCCAACTGAATGTGGACAAAATTATTATGGTGCTGCTAAGCCTTAGCAGCTAAGGTAACAAAGAGAGCCCTCATCTACTCCCTACTCAGTGGATGAGCAGAAATGTAACTGGCATCTGCTGTTTCAGTGGCCAGACTGTCAGGCTGCTGCTCAGGGAAGGTCAGTGCATCCATGCCAGGAAGACTTTGTCCCGTTTAGAAGAGAGTGTTCAAATCTGTGCAGATTCTCAGTCATCCAGGTCATAGTAAACCGCAACCGA